CGGATTTTAGGACATTGATGTGCATGAGACGCATGGGGGCCTGGTGCCTGTCTCTGGGGCTTCGTGTCTGCTTTCGGTGGATACCCTCGGAGTGGAATACCGCTGACGAGCCGTCCCGTCGTTTCTCAGTTGAACATGTTGGCTCACACGCTGATCTCGGCTCTGTTCGCGATCCCCCTGCTCTTCACGGACCGCCCGAATGTGACGCTGAACCCGCCGGCTCCAGTCCTGGCGACGGCCGCGCCGCGCTCAGCCCGCTGGGCGGACCGCCCGGCCAGGAGCCCAACGTCTCTGACAACGCCGACGGCGAGGCCCCGCGCTTCCCGACCATCCAGGCTGGGGCGGGGCAGTCCTCAAGCTCGGGTTCCAGGTCGACACTGGCTGCTTCGCGGGCCTCTCGGCGAGGCTGCCGAGGCGGGCGAGCCGGCGGTGCGGCCGCGTCGAGGTCCTGGTGGCGTACCTGGCCGGTTGCTCCGCCGCCCGGACTTCCGCTTCCTGAAGGACGCAGACTGCAAGGGCCGCGGGGGACTGCAGCATGTCGGGAGCCTGACGCCGCCCGGGCTGAGCGGCTACATGACAACGCCAGCGGCGCCGCGGTCGCGGGCACGGCGTCGGGGCACCTCGTGCGGCGGCCCCTCTGCCTCATGGACCTGCTCGGGCTTCGCACCAGCGAGCCGGACCCGCCGTGTGTTCGTGCTGAACATGGGCATCTACAAGCACAAGGCCAGGGTCTTCAACTTCTTCTTCAACAGCTACCCGCGCCAGTTCATGGCGTGGGACACTTCACGGCGGCGCCTCCATCCGCTGTTTCTGGGAAAGCTCTCCGACGCCGCCATCGTCGCCGCCGGGAAGTATTGCATTTGGGCCAGGATCAAGAGCAGGAAAAGGTGGAAGGCGGACCTACGCGCGCTAGTGTACTGCAGCACAAGCCTTGTCAAGCACACCTCCGAGCAGCAGCTGATCGTCTCGTCGGCGTCTCACGGGTGCAAGCGGGAGCTCCCTCCCGGGCCCCCTTTGTGCGACCAGATCGACCCCTCGGCCAGCGGACTGCCCGACATCCTGAGCTCGGCCCCAAAGAATCGACGCCTTACCTCGCTGACCTTTTTGGGGGCACAGGCGGAGTGGGTCGCGCAGCAGGTAGATACGGCATCAGGGCCAGGCTGTGGGACAAGTCGGTTTCAGACGCCTTCGATCTGACACTTTTGAAGAACATCCAGCTTCTCTGCTCAGAGGCCAAAGCACGCAAGTTAGTCGCAGCCATGATCGCTATCGACTGCCGGTCTTGGGGCATCGCTCGCAATCGAACCAATGTGATCCGTTCGCGACTGGAGCCCCGGGGAGTTACGAGTCCAGCCAAACCTTTTTCAATTAATGACCTGGAAGCCCTCAGGAGCGGAAATCTCCAAGCTCAGCGAATCCTCAAGTTCATTCGGTACATCCACGCTTTGGGTATCCCTTGGGCCGTCGAGAATCCCAACACCAGCATCCTTTGGTGGGTTCCTGGCTTTCTGGCGCTCGCAAAAGACCCCAAGGTGTCTGTTAAGGTTATCGACCAGTGTGCGTTTGGAACACCATGGCGAAAACGAACTCGTCTCATGTTTGGCAATTGCGACCCCTTTGATATCAGCTTGTGCGACCAATACGTGTGCCACGGTCGGGGGACATGCTGTTTCCCTGGAAAGCGTCATGTAGAGCTAGAAGGCAAACGTATGACGTCTCAGGCTCAGACATACCCTCCACGCCTCTCCCAGCTCCTGGCTAAAATACTATGCAGTACTGCAGTCTATCAGCGCGCTCACCACTATGGGCATATATATCCACTGTGATCTACCTCTCCTTCACCAACTCATAAGCTCACTACCCTTTTGGGACGACTTGGGAATCAGCGTTCGCCCTTGGCCGAGTATATACTCATTGCATTCTCACGTCCGTTTGTGGGCCAGCGCGTGAAGACGGTGGCTGAGTTGATTAGACATATTGCTGTGGAAAAAGAAGAAGCGAAGGCCTCTCATGTTATTGCGGAGTATGCTTGCAGACGGGCACGGGATTGAGGGGCCCAGCTGGTCTTTGTCACGCTCCCTTGTATTCCATTATATATTTGCTCAAGCTTCCCTCCCCCCTCTCCCCCTCTTGCGCCGTGTCGTTTCGACTCCACGTTTCAAAAGGAATCGGCGTTCGCCTTTGGCCGAGTATATACTCATTGCATTCTCACGTCCGTTTGTGGGCCAGCGCGTGAAGACGGTGGCTGAGTTGATTAGACATATTGCTGTGGAAAAAGAAGAAGCGAAGGCCTCTCAATGTAATGCAATGCGGCGCAAACAATGCAAAGCTGTACTAGGCAATGCAAGGCAACGCAAATCACTGCAACAATATGCGACGCAATGCATGGCCATTGACAGCATGGTATAGTAATTCAACGCAGCGCTAGTAATTGCAATGCGAAGCGCTGCATGACAATGCAAATCAATGCTGGCCCAGACGACGGGCGGCGACGAGGCGGCGACGGGGCGGCGACGGTTACAACATAGCGACAGGGCCGACGCGCAGACCCAGACGACGAGCGGCGACGAGGGGGCGACGAGGCGGCGACGGGGGTGCCACGGCGACAGAATGGCCGCCAGACCGACGCGAAGGCCCACACGACGGGAGGCGACGAGGCGGCGACGGGGCGGCGACGGCGACAACATAGCCGCCAGACCGACGCGCAGGCCCAGACGACGGGCGGCGACGAGGCGGCGACAGGGCGGCGACGGACCTACACGCAGGTCCAGACGACGGTAGGCGACGAGGCGGCCACGCGACGGCGATGGCGACGACATAGCCGCCAAATTGACGCGCAAGACCAGTTCCCTTAGACAAGAACGTAAGAATGTCTAAGTACAAGCACTGTTTAGTAAACCTAAGGCGAGTTCCCCACCCGCGCCGACCACAGCGTCTTGAAGACGATGGACTTCGGCCGATACTTCCGATTTGGTTCTCCATCCGTCCTGGACTGAGAACGCAACATCCCGAACGAAAAGGACGCCCTGCCGACATGTTCGAACCCATCCAGCTAGGTGGCGTCTCCCGGAACTGCTTGCTCCTGCGAGAGGCAACGCCGACGGGGGAATCGCAATGGGGGGAAGAGATTGCTTGCGGCCCTTCTTTAACGTTCGGGGGGCCTTCCAGGGGCCTCCGAGGATCAGGACCCAAAGCACAACTAAAACTCGCGAGAGATAGGATCGGAAAGCATCGCGGTCCCCGCCGTCGCCCGTAGGAGCGTCGCCGACGTGCAGCACACACACACACACACACACACGCACACACGTACGCACACACGCACGCACGCACGCACACACGCACACACGCACGCACGCACACACGCACACACACACACACACAAACGCACACACGCACACACGCACACACACACACACACACACGGGTCCTGGTCAGGCGACGTCATTCCCCACCCGGTAAGTTGAGGTTGTGAAGCTGAATGGAAGGCGTTCCCGAGCAGCCTCGCGCACTGCATACCGCGGCCACCAGGCCCAACGTGTGCCAGCGCTCCGCCCCGCAACCTTGGTTGTGGATTGCTTGATGCAGAAAGCTTGTGGTTGTTTCGAGGACGTGGGCCCCCAAGAGGCCCCCAAGAGGCCCGAAAGAGGCCCCTAGAGGCCCCAGAACGGCCCCCAAGAAGCCTCAGCACTGACTCCAAGAGACCCCCGAGGGGCCTCCCATGAGGTCCGAACGGACATTTCCTCCCCGGGATTGGCTTGACGCCAACGGGCTGTTCTTGCCGCCTCGGGCCTCGGAGGCGGGCCCTCGGGACGCTGGAGGCGCGACGCCTGCAGGTCTCGGTGGATGGACCTCTCACGCGCGCGCACGAGAGGTTTGCACATGGTTCTTTTCTAGTTCTTCGAGGGTTCTTTGATTTTTTCGGAGGGCCAAGACCCTTTCATTCCGAATTGATCTATCCTGGGCCTCGTCCTGGCCACGGGGGGGCCATGAACAGATAGAAACGAGCCCAGTTAGAGATGAGCACGATTAGAAATGAACGACGTGTAGGCCCAGGCGTGGCGTGTTCCTCACGCCTTGGCTACACACACGTGGCGCTATACAGTCAGAGGCTCCGCACGCACGCGCACACGGGGCTCGTTGCACAAAGGGTTCAGCACACGACTTTGTGTCTACGCGCTGGCTTCACAACCCGTGGAGTGGTTCAAGGCTGTTTCGTACTGGGCCATTGAGCGAAGACACGTTGCACGTCAAGTCTGACGAGCACGTTCTGCTGCCTTACCTTTCGAGGTCTCTACCTTTCAATTTGCAATGGTGCAGCACACGTTCTTGACGGCCACTCCCCAACGCGATCATTTGTTGTACTTGCTCGTGTTCGCATCTTTGACCGTCTTTGTCAGCCTGTTGTTGGGCCTTGCTTCGACGACCTCGTGGCTGATCCCTGCTATTCGCCAGGCCATGATACAGTCGCAGGGTGAAGCCCTCCTATTCTTATTACTGTCCCTCGTCTACTTCGCCAGTTTCGCCACCGTCAGACCCTGGCCGATGTGCGCTGGACCCGTTCCCAGGGTCATGGGCCAGAGATCCCCTGGCGCGGAACCACCGTGCAGGGTCACAGCGGTGCCCATGAAAACCAGCGCCGCGAAGATCACTCAGGCGTCCACGAAGACATTCCAGCAGCGGGACGCGGACACGCACCTGATCAAGACAACCGACAGGGAGCGCCTGCCTTCCGATGCCTTGACGTTCTCGATGCTAGTTGGTGCATGCGCCAGGCTGGACAACGCTGATCTAACGCTGGATCTGTTCGATCACATGTTGAAGAACGGAATCAGATTCGACTATCGGTCGATAAACAGCGGCACCGCCAGGAAATTCTTCAAGCTCGTGGCGCAGAACTTCGACGACAAGCGCCTGCAAAGAGAAGGGATTCAGCTCATGCGGGCGGCCATGGCTCGTGGTATCTCGCCCTCGAGCCACGTCCAGAATCAGGTCATTCGCTCATGGAGGAGCAAACTTCTGACCACGTCGTGGAGGCCTTTGTGGGCCTGCGAGAGGAAGGCATGCACCTCTGCGCAACCGCGTACCGCTGCATCATGGTCGCGCACGAGCGGACCGAGCCAGTGTTCACGCTGCGACTCTACCGTGAGACGGTGTTGCTGGGTGTCAAGATCGACCGCGTGGCGTTCAACGCAGTGCTGTGCGCCTGCTCACGCCTCGGCATGACGAAACAGGCCTTGGAGCTATTCGAGCAGATGCCCGAGCTCGGGCTAGTCCCGAACGGGAAGACCTACGGCTGTCTCATCAGGGTCTGCACCGGCGGCAGGAAGATCAAGCAGGCGCTTGAGCTCTTCGAGTCGATGCGGACGGCTAGCATCGAACCCAACCGCTTCACCTTCCGCGATGCCATCCGCTGCTGCGTTGAGCTGGGGAAGCTCGACGAGGCCTACGATCTTTACAGGGAGATGGCTCCAGCTAACGAAGTCTCTTGCAGCAGCATGCGTATGCACATCTTGGATGCATGCCGTAAGAGCGTCCGCCTGTCAGTCGCAGATCGCATCCAGGCAGACATTGGGCCCATGGGGCTGGAGGATGGGATTTGATTTGAGGATGTCGACGTTTCCACGCGCGCCATCTGCTATGATACCGGGTAGGCATTGCGTCTTCACACCGCCTTCGCAGGCTACTACGCCGCTTCTGTTGTTTGCGAACTTGCTCAGAGGACATAGGTCTCGGTGAGTCAGCAGCTGGCACCTGATTACAATGCTTCTGCAAATGGCATGGCCTCTTATATGGTGTGCGAAGTGGATTTCCCTCACCACTTAGTATGTGCTTGTTTCTTGCATCCACTCCATGTCTCCCATCCCGTACAGGTCGGGCTGCTGCAACTCCAAATTGTCTATGCTGGAAGTGCCTCCTCATACATGCTGGTTGGAGCAGCAGCTGGCACAATATTGCGTGTCGCACTCGCCGTTTAGTCCATGATTTGTGGGTGCGCGCCCACATGGAACTTACTATCGCATGCGCGTGGTCTGCCGACTCCCTTTCGATAACGGGGCGCATTGCGCGTCTGGAAGAATATTTGGCGTGCTGATGTATTTCCGACAGCTGGTAACTTCAGCGGGGAAAGGATATTTTAGTTCAAGTGATATCTCGGACGGGCGTCCCTGGCAGCTCATCTGGTTAAGCGTATTTCCCGTTTTGAGGTATTAGTGTGGTCGAACGGGGGGGAATTTAACATCAGAGTGGGTCCTTGAATTTGCTGCACGCAAATGGTATCGGGCTCTCCGCCAGGCGTGTTCTCTAGATACGCTGACTCGCTAGCCCCCCCGCTTTTCCATAGGGTGCAACTACTCGGAGGGTAAATTCAGTATCGGCGCTGATGTAAACGTGGTCCAGAACCGGGCCAATTCAGCCTAACCCCGTTTTTGTTCCGTTGACTGTTGCAGTGGAATTAGTTTAATCTGGCTCCATCGTGGTAAATCCCAGGCTTGATCCGGCTTTGTCTTGCTGTATGGCCCCTTAATCGGGCTTGCCAGCGCTTGCTCGCTCTTGCGGCAACCTCGCAGGAGTTGCCTCATAATTCTCCCCCCCCCCAGCCGTCCGCCTCGCGAGTTCAGGCCCTCGGGGACGCCTTGTAAGCCTCTTGGGCCTTCGGGGGGCGATCTGTGGGCCCTTGTGGGGTCCTCTTGGGCCGTCTCAGGGGCCATCGTGGATGCTTCTTGGGCCGTCGAGAATGCCAAAATCAGTCACTCATGAGATTGGCTTCTTCGGGCCCTGTTGGAGGTCCTATTGAGGCCTTTTTGGGCCTTCATTCGGCCGCCTTGGGGCCATTTTGGCAATCCTGCCGCTATCTGTGACTCGAGGGGGGGAGCCCCTTGTTTGACTACAAGAATCCTGCACCTGGCATTCTAATACGCTCACACCTTGCAGGGCACGGTTGCGGATATCCAGGGCCAGGCCGCCAGGCCATTCCGCCAGGAGGAGGCCGCCCGCACGACCGCGCGACAGGACGCTGAAGCGACGCCACCTTTTCCCCTGCCGCGGCATTCGCATTTGCCGCCGCGAGCCGGGCGTGGCACGGCGCTGAAGCAACAACGTCTTCGCGCGATGGTGACGCGGAACCATTGGCGGGTTGTTGAGGGTTCAACACCTTTGGCGTTGGATCGTCCATGGTCTGCTCCAGATATCTTGGGAGACTTTCGCGGGTCTACACCTTGAAACGCACGAGTGGGATCTATTTGGCTTCTGGAGTAAAGCCCGCTCAGCCAGTAAAGCTCGTATGCAAACTATGTTTTCATCTGGCTCCACCACGGGGTCATGAAATTCCAAACGAGCTCGGCAGCCGCCGCCACGGAGGTGACTGAGCCGAATTCACAAAACACTTCCGAAGAAGCTAATTGCGGGTTCTTCGCCGCCAATGCGGTATTCGGACATGTTGAGGCCCGTGGGAGGGCTAAGCGGTGCATTCGCCCAGCGCCGCGCAAGGATTTGTTCTTGTAATTCCGCCCCCGCTGGTCGTTCCCCTCGCCACGTCGTCGGAAGTGGGACCGCGCGCGAGCAACGTGCGCTCGCCAAATGGGATCGCGTTCCGATTCCAAAAACACTGTGTCACAACATGCTCTTATGCTATTGCTGGGAAGGCGGGGCTCGTCCGACCTGGGTAACTTGACGCCCAGTCATATTCTGGCTCACGCGTGCTCAATCAAGCATGCTCGAAGTTATGGATAGTCAGACCCACTCAAACGCAGCCGATGACACGTAGCCGCGCTCGCGTTAATATTCACGCGTGTACCTATTGACACATCGTCAGACTTACTCGCACTTAGGCGATCATACCCAAGCGCACCGCTAGGCATGTGCCACGCATATGTGCTATACACAGGTACATATATACATGTATGCTGTACATGTTTAGATGTGCACATGTATACGAGTGTGCTGATCACATCTTGATTCACTCGCACCAACTAAAACCACTCGTTCATACTTGGGCGCGATCATCCTACGCAGCACCCGTTTATTATCAGAGGCGCTCGTGTTTAGATTCGCATCTTTCAGTTCTGTTGACCCTGTGGCGTAATTCCGACACCGTGATTATTTTTTCGCCGCAGGTCCTACTTTGCGCCATTGGTTCGCGCGCTTACGCCGCTTGTTTGAGGTGGTTCCCCCCGTTCTCCATCCTCCCTTCTCTCCTGTTTTCCTCCCCTCCTTCCACACAGCAAGCTCTGCTTCAGCCGATGCTTATTCTTCATCTTGCAATTGTAGTCATGACGAGATTGCGTGCTCCACACAGTCCGAGTCCTCACATGCGGCACGCCCCGCTCCTCCTCTGAACCCCGCTCGCCGAAGCGCGCGCACTTGCCTTCTGCAGGGAAGCTCACCTGGCGCTTCTCCCGCTGCCGGGGCCCCCGGGCTTTCCGCTCTCCTCTTGCAGCCTGCTTGTGGGCCTTCGGAGGCGTCTGTGAGGCGGAGGCGGAGCGAATGCCAGGGCTAATGCCAGTAGAGGAAAGAGAACTATGCACATACACCGATTCTGGCCAGGCCCATCCTGAGCCCAGGATCGGTGCATACGCCCTCTTACCTTGGCCAGGAGGGTATATGCACTGATCCTGGGTCAAGGATGGACGTTGTCAGGATCGGTGCATGTGCATAGTTCTCTTCGCCCGAGCCAAGGCTAATGCCAGGGCCAGGTGGAGGCGTCTGAGAGGGCCACATCGGCATCCTTGGGGCCGGCTTGGGTTCTTTTTGGCCACATCGGGAGATGCTGGTGTCGTCGTGGGGGTTCACGGCAATCTTGGGTGATAGGAGCTAGTTTCGGGCGGGCATTTGGGGTAAGTCTTATCGGGAACATATTAGAACGTGCGGGGGCGAAATCAGGCTACCAGCATCACACATCGACGCTCCAGCGTTTTCTCTTGGACCGATTCGGGCCGACTTGGAGCCATCGTGGGCAGTCGTGGGGTCCTCGTACTCTCTTGAGGACTTGCTGGGGGGCTGCTGGCCTCTTGCACCTCTTTGCTTTCTGGTCTCGGCCCTATGGCTTGTGGGAACATGGAGCAAACGTGGGTGGCGGCCAGGCGATGGGTCGAGATCACAACCAGTCGGGTGATGCCATAACTGGACGGGTGAGATCCCAACCGTCCAAAACCCCAGGCACGGTCAGATCCCAAGCGAGGAGAAAGTTAATAATGAAACACATGTTGAAACATTACCATCGTTTTGCATTGCAATTTGAAACCTCATTGGGAAACGTAGAGGAGCGAATTCACGCTAGCGGTTGGCAGCTCTTCTGTGAAGCCAAAAACATCGATTTTACTATGGTTTTGGCCCCATTTTGGCTTTCTCAGGGGGCAGCGCTCATCGTCCTTCATAGCAAAATCATTGATTTTACGAAGGTTTTGGGCTCATGTTGTCCTTCTCAGGGGGCAGCTCTCACACCAGCTGCTGAGGAGGTCGCACGCGGCCCTAAGATGGCCCCAAGAGGCCCCCAGGAGGCTCCCAAGAGGCCTCCAAGAGGCCCCCCAGAGGCCCCCAAGCGGCCCCAAGAGGCCCCCAAGAGGCCCCCAAGAGGCCCCCACGAGGCCCCAAGATGCCCCAAGAGGCCCCCAAGAGGCCCCCAAGAGGCCCCCAAGAGGCCCCAAGAGGCCAAGAAGAGGCCCCCAAGAGGCCCCACGAGGAGCCCGAACGACTCACACCAGGACGAGGGGCCCGAACGACTCACACCACGAAGAGCCCGAACGACTCACACCACAAGGAGGGGCCCGAACGACTCACACCAGGACGAGGCGCCCGAACGACTCACACCACGAGGAGCCCGAACGACTCACACCACGACGAACGACTCACACCACGAGGAGCCCGAACGAGTTACACCAGGAGGAGGGGCCCGAACGACTCACACCAGGATGAGGGGCCCGAACAACTCACACCACGAGAAGCCCGAACGACTCACACCAGGACGAAGAGCCCGAACGACTCACACCACGAAGAGCCCGAACGACTCACACCAGGAAGAAGGGCCCGAACGACTCACACCAGGACGAGAAACCCCAAACGACTCAAACCACGAGGAGCGCTTTCTCTCCCTCCTCC